CGAGATTAATGTGATCGTTAACTATCTTCAGACTTGCTGATGTGCGTGTTGACATTATATAATGAGAAAGAGCGAATGTTGACTTATGAGCGTTTACCTAGAAGCGTTCATGAGCGACTGTCTTGACAAGTTGACTTAGTTGGTGGAAGGGCAACGAATTACATTTTTTACTCGCACAACACCGCCACAACAAGTCCGTTTGACCTGTCCAGCACATACGTGATAATCGTTGGTGGATAAGTTTAAGACAAGCGTATAGGAAATATCATTACATATTTTCGAACGGCAAATACCGTTAAACGTAAAAAACATCACACCGGACGCTTTCGACGATGAATACAAATGAGATTTCAACGTGAAATGCTAATACACTCTAAAAATTACACATTATTTTGGTGTATTATTTTCTGTCGGTTTCCCTCCGCGGATGGAATCAAATTACTAAACAAAACACATTCACACCTAGACAAACGACGTCTATACAAAATGTTTTCGTGTACACTAAAAAATCAGCCACACCGATGGGAATGAAGAGTAGAAATATTCGTTTCTACGCGATGCTTTGAACAAAAATCACTTTAATGTTTAACACGGATAATTGAAATTCAAATGTGTTGAAAACAAGAAATCTTATGTCTATGAATATGTATAACTCGTTATGTTATTAATATTTTTTTTAGCTGTTCGATCATATTTTTATCTTTAAACGATCCACCAACACGCCATGGTACACATCGTGTTTACTATGAGCAAACTCGGATAAGATTCCAAATGTCAAAACGATTGTGAAATGTACAAGATGTTTTGACTAAATAACCAAGTTTATGAATAAAAAAACAATTAATTATAAATAAAATACGTTGTCATCGAAATATTTTAAGTTTTTTTTCACAGTTGTATTGATTTCGTACAGTTAATCGTTTATTAAACCTACGCACAATTATGACAGGAGAGATACGAGAAATTTTTAAGATATTTCTAAACGAATTTTTATTATTTATCGCGATGTAAATATCAATCCCAAAATTTGATAAAGAAACTAGTCGAAAACAATAATTTTAGTCTTTTGTTCGATAACACCAAACAGACATTTATTTGTTCTTCGCGCGAAAAAAAACTCATGTTTAGCATTTTTCTTAAAAAAACATTTTTGATTATTCAAATAAAATATGGCGAAAATGTACAAATAGAAATTATTGATATCTTTAGTCGTTGTTCTCTACGACTAATCAATAATTGTATACATTTTTTAATTGAAATTCTACAGATACTACTGAATAGCACGCGAAAATTCATTAAAATAGGACGCTGTTCTTTGCATTACGTGTGGATTGTCTCGGGTAAGTTGTGATAGTGACTCGCGAGACGGCACAAAAAACCGAAGGGCGTTCACGAAACGTGTAAATTATTAATAATATCCATTGAGCTTCAAGGAGAGCTGTTAATGGGAACACGCGTGTGGCGCCTCTCGTATAAATGTAAATAATTGAAACAATGCACAAACAAAATCTGACAACTGATGACGACGCGGTACGTTTGATGTTTTTATCAGATGTATGGCCCGACAGTTCGTATCGGCCTTTTTCGATATAAATCGCAGTGAGTTTACGGCTGTCGCCGAAGAGTGAAAAAAAAATCTTGTTTACAATTTACATAAAACGACGCAGGCGGTAAACACGCACGTCAAGAGAATTTCTTTTATCCAAACAATGTCGTAACGCTAATAAACATAATTTTCATCAGAACGCCAAAGATTTTATAAGCGCGGCAAAACTTCTCGCGCCGTCCGGTCAAACAAAACCAGTGATATATTATATTTTTTATCGGCACAAAACTCTAGTTGCGTTGTACACGTGTCAATCTGATTTAATGTACGCTGAGTCTTATACGAGTCAGGTGCCACGAAAAACTACAGCAGTCGGCGAAGAAAATCGAGTACAGTGTCGGACAGACTCACTCGAAGAAGACTCGAGGGGATGTCTACTGCACAATTGAGTCGAGTAGCTGATGCTTCGCTGTCATTGCGATGTGTATAATGTACGACTGCTGGACACAATACCAGGAGGGTCCGTCACTTTTCATGATCCTCCGGCCTAGTATATCGTTATTATGAGCTGCACTCGGTAGTGGATTACCGTCAAACTACGGCGAAAGGATTATTGTCTACCGAGTGTGGGTGACGGAACGATGGCAATAAAAAAATGTCGAATAATACGTCCTGTCGGAGAGACAAAGGTTTTTTTCTCGGTAGAAGTCAATTGCGGCAGCACATGTTGCAAACGGTGTCTCCGTTGGCACCGGCCTATTGCTGAATACGCGTGTGTCCCCAAATGGCCTAGGCATTTCTGCCGGGTTGGGCACGGCGACAAACAATAAGCCGGATAAACAGTTTAATTACAGGCTGGACGAACTAGAAATCGGTGATGAATGTCGACCGGTTAAAACGGTCTGCGGAAACAATATGACACGTAGTTTCTATTCCGCGTCCCGCGGTCCTGGGTGGGACGAACCCGAAAGTTATAATAACACTACTATAGATAGCCCGGATACAGGTAAAACAATAATAATAACAATAATGCGGGCTGTTCGCATATTATTGTTGTTCCGGGTGGCCAAATAACGTTCGCCGTACATTTTCGTGCCGACGGCAAGACGCCCATGCAGATGCGACAATTAACGCATGGCTAATAGCACAGAGCACGAGCCTCCTAATCGTTATGTTAATGCGCTGAGTAATTTTTAATGTGTGCGGTGCAGAGCAGCATCTATTGTTTTGCCGACGGCGGGGGTGTAGCACAGAATCGAACAATGATGTTGCTAATAATGCAAATACAAAAAAAAAAAATGAAGTGTACACGTAATAAGCCTAGTCCGGTGACAAACCCCGTCGACTCTTCACAGTCATTGTTGTAGCACTTGCGCGGATTGGCCGGGTTCGTGTGAGCGGACCGCTGCGTGCGTGTGTGTGAGTTCCGAGGGCGCTCGTGCGCTTGATGGCACGCATTTTACGTGGGCAATGCGCCACATTATAAACGCTTAAAACACGAGATCGAAATGTGCTCGTGATCCGCCTGAAAATACTTATTGCCAAGAGTACAAATTTCGTATTAGCGACGGTTGGGTCGAGTCGATAAAAAACATTCAGCGCGAGCTCCAATCTCGGTCAGTACTGACCCCGTTTACCAGTTATACGGTTCACGATCAGCACTAACCCTTTTTCCGTCTATTATTAAGCCGGCCTGAGTATGTACCATAAACGATTTTTAGGGAGAAGATGATATATTTTGTAGGTTTCATAACATAAATAATAACATCTACTTTAATTTTAATTGAAATTAAAACGGGTCGAAGACAAAAAACTTCAAAATTCGAGATAAAAGTTTCTTGGCCATATTAAATACATTTTCTGACCGCAAATTTTGCCATGTGAGTTTTATAGGTAATAATCGTAGTCATATATTTACATTAGTAATTTATCATGACCTCAAAGCTAATATAATTCGAAAAAATGATTTGTTTTTTTTTTTTTGAGTCATAACTTAAACTCATCATGACTAAAACAAAACGAATCAAATAGCTGTAAGCCGCGTTAGGTGGATTCAACGAGACAATACATTTTTGTAAAGTGCAATGTCCTAAATAACAATGGCGATATGTTTTGTATGTAAAATGTATATATGTGCAGTGTATAAAATAATTTATAAAAAAATTGTTGGATACGTGAGATGAATGAAAAACAATTGTAATAAATAAGATAAAAATCGTCGTAAAATTTCAAACTTCTATTTATAATTTTTAGTTACAGGAAAATGCGAATGAAATAAAAAAATAATAAACCTAACATGTATTAGTGTTAAAAGGAGTCTTATAAACATTTTAATTAATATCAAACTAATTAAATATTCGCTATGTTCATTGCTAGATTCTAAATTTAATTAACAAATGATTATTCGTTTTTACAATTCCAAAGGTTTATTTTTGGAAAAATTTTAACTAAACAAAAATGTATATTCGTGTACTTTTTACTTTTTACAAACAGAAATTACTTAAGTAAAAATTTTACTCAACAGTAATAGATGCAGAATTGTTTAGTAGGTTTTTCGTTATCGTTTTTCAATTAATCGCATATTTTATCGTTGAAAATACTTTTTTAAGTAGGCTATAATAGTCTCAAGAGGTCTTTGAGCCCTAGATCCGGCACTAATATAAAATAAAATGCATTTGTTATTATTTAAAATAAAATCGTTGTCATATTAAGAAATAACGATTGTACACGATTAAATATGCCATTGCATTTCAATAAACTTCATGCTGTAAAAATGATTTTGTCATAACCATTAATTATTTTCATAACTCAATTTGTAATATTCATAAATGTGAGACAATGAGAACGTGGTATATTATAATCGTAAACAAAAGTTGCATTATGACTAATGTTTATTATTCCGTTAAAAACCTAATTACTTAAAGTCATAAAAGTAAATTTGTTTAAGTCATGGATTTACACTGGCAGAGTTATAATTGAAAATATGCTAAAATTTTTATTACCAGTTATTAAATGACGTCGCTGTTGCATTACGAAAACCAAATGAAAACGCTAATAGAATTCCGCTGGCCAAACACAATCGGCAGAAGCAAAAATCGTCACGATCATTTAGTATTCTTGTACGTGCTCTGTTGCGCACAAGTGTAAAATAAAATAAACACATTTTAGTCACATACTATTGACTCGGCGGTCGAAGGGCACCGCAGTGTAGAATTTTTTAAAAAACGTACAGAGCGCAATGACAATAGCCATGCCGCATTTTGTTTTTTTCTCCTTTGACTTCCTGCCCTCATCATGATCTTTTAGCTGCTCGTTCTGTCCCTCTCTCTCTCTCTCTCTCTCTCTCTCTGTGTGTCTTTTCTATATTTATAAACGTATCGCACAATAATGCAGCACAAGTACAGCGAGAATAATAATAATATGGTAATGCTGTCAAACCGACGCTTGTACTTACATATAATGTGTGCGCGACCGTTTTCCGAGTGTTTGTGCTACAAGACATCGAGCCAAGGCGGATTGCGTTGTGGGTACGGTAAATGTAAACAGCGCGTGACATCACAATATTAGTATACACGCCCGGCACGGGTCAACTACAAATATTGAAAATAGTGTTAAAGGTTTAGATGGAAGGCATAAAAAAAAATAAACGAACAAGAATGGAACGCTCGCTTACTTACTGTACATGTAACGTTGGCCACGAGGTTGCTGTGTTGTTGTCAAAAGGCGAAATACGATTTATCACGCTGATAACGAAGTGCGCGCACTGTAATGTTAGATACGTTACAGTTGAAATTCGAGCTTCGATCGACGTGTCCGAGGAAATCCGATAGTGACTATTCGTAACAGAACAATACAACAACACTCCGTACAACTTTGAACCAAAATTTTAATTTCACAGATCGAGATTAGATAAGTCCAGTTGACGTGTTCGACATTCACGCACTTGCCATCGACACGTTATTAACTAGATCTCTTAATTCACCAATAAAGAAAATACCATAAACCGCGCCCGCCCGGTATTCGATTAATTACCATACATGAAATATCCGATTACAAAATCTAAATGACTGTTCGCTTCCCCTATGCTAGTTTTTCTAAAGATTCTATTATATTTTGTCATGTGGGATGAAGAGCACAATAGTCGAACGTGGGAATATATCCGATTTCAACGTGATCGTTCACAGAGCCAATGTTTCACGACAAACCGAGTCCTAATGTAATTACAAGTAATAATAACACATAATTGTTTGAACGAATCTCGTTTACAGAATCAAAGCAACAACTGCTGTGTGAATTTTCCTGTCGAAACAGTAGCACTAGCAGTGTAGTACAGCGGCATGTACTCATATTGTAATCAGTTCATTTGTGTTCAAATAAATACCTTTTTGTTATTACTGTTTGAAAGACATTAGATAATTAAATATTCAAATTCGCTTTTCATGCAAATTGCACCATGAAATCAGCTGCGTGTCCCTTCAGAATGAGTAATAACTTTTTCAGCGAATAATTTAATGAGTTCTCGTTTCAAAGGAGATACAGCGAAATTTAATACAATTGTTGCATAATAATAAAAAACGATATTCGGTTATGTTCAAATTAAAGCCGTATTATAATTGTTTTAAAATCATTTTCTTCTACGACTTCATCATAAATAGATTATACCGAAATTCCCCGTAGAAAGTTGGTTATTATATGCGTGAGTTCCATTTGACTACAAATTCAATTATAGAAGGGAGAAGTCTGGACTGGAGTTGATGCAATGAAATTGGCCCTCTTTGCCNACCGAAATTCCCCGTAGAAAGTTGGTTATTATATGCGTGAGTTCCATTTGACTACAAATTCAATTATAGAAGGGAGAAGTCTGAACTGGAGTTGATGCAATGAAATTGGCCCTCTTTGCAAAAACAGTTTCTGTTTATATTCAAAAACTCAGTTACTCCATTAAGATATCTACTTTGAGTCTAAGTAACAACAGTGTCAGTTTTTTCCTCTAAAAAGTTCTGTACAAAGAAGGCTGAGATAATGGTACCAAAAAGACATTTCACCCCATGTGTTGTACTTTGTCCCCTATGCATGGTGACCACGATAACTCAATTATATGACCTCGTTGCGCAATAGAGTACAGGCCAAGGTGGTGGTAGCAGTGTGTTTTCATGTGCATTTGTGTAATTAGATCTTCTAGGGAGCAGGGAAAGATCAAAACGAGTGCATAGTGTGCAGATCATATTTCCAAACGTTTCCGTACACACACCATTATTTTTTTGAAAAGGCCGCGTGCACTGGGTAATGTGGAAAAAGGGTCGCTCTTCACTTGTCGGTCGGGGAAACGAAAAATGCATGTGTTCGGTGGAATTTCGTTAGAGTCAACACGTGTGCATCTGGCGCATTAAAAATATGTATAGCAATGCCACTGCCAACGCATGTGTGTGTATGTATGTTTGTAAGTCTGTTAGAAATCCGCCGTTGCATTATAAAGGACTACGCATCAGTAGATGGAAAAATTGAGAAAAATGTGCCGCCCAGGAAGTTTATGGTCGTTAACGGCCAACGTGTAACACACGCGGAGGAGATGAGGTGAATCTTTTTTTGGGTGATGCTGTACGTTTCCAACGCGTGCATCACGTGTGTATTTTTATTATTATCATTATACATACGGACAAATAAACATACGCACGTATGATGCCACAATATTTAAAAAAACAGATGTCTGACAACGTTTTTGGCGTACACACCAATTCACTTTTAATTTGCAACAGGTCTTCGGGATACAACTTGACATTATGACCACTCCTGACTTCACATTAACGTTTGAAATTATCACCGGAAATTCGACCGACTCTAAAATGTGATTAATTGCACGTGAACTCAATGGAAATTACTATTTTTCAAGGAAAATGAACTCTGATGTATCGAAACCAAAATTTATATTTACTGTAAAATCTANTTATCACCGGAAATTCGACCGACTCTAAAATGTGATTAATTGCACGTGAACTCAATGGAAATTACTATTTTTCAAGGAAAATGCACTCTGATGTATCGAAACCAAAATTTATATTTACTGTAAAATCGGTTAGAATTAAAAAATTAAAATTCAATAGAACGGTTTCATTGTAATATGCTATTAGGATAAAATATGTGCGTTTGTTTCAAAATCCAAGAAAACAGACGGTTTTAGAATAAAACAGATGTCAGCACCCTACGGTAATGGCTAGAAAAATATCATTCATTATTACTTGTAGCTGTTACACTGTTTATGTAACTTTCTCACATTATGGAACTCATTAAAGCCTAAGAGGGTTGAAAAAAAATCGAATAATTTTAATTTATGGTCAGGTCTGTGAAGTGGTAAAATAATATATTATTATACACGATGGTTTTCTATTTTCGAGAAAAAACAAGATGATGTGCCGCAAGAAATCGGATTGGTTGGAGGTTTAAGATAAATTGTTTAAAATCCAAAAAAAAAAAATTGCTGTCAGCGTTAAATATTCTTTGTAATGTCGTTACTCATTAAATAGTATAGATAGCATAATGAAGCCACGTCATTTTGAACACTATGGAAATGAATCGCATCATATATCTATAAAACATATACATGTGTAAATAATTGTATGTACTGTATGGAGCCTACGCAGTACAGCAAATGATTATTTTTTATAACGTTCGTAATTTTTTTATTATACTTGTTTATTGTAGCCAAAGTAAATTGCATCACTGTTTTAATCAAAATTCAATCAAGAATAATTATCTAATGAGTAAAATAATTCATGCTAAAAAAAAATAACGCTCAAAGACGATAAATATTTTTGTTTTGTAGTACATAACAATGCTGCGACACGCAAACATTTACACTTATGACATTATTTTTAATATCACTGAGTATTAGTCAAATGTGTTTGTACACAAAAGTACCATGTGTGATAATCTGTATTAAGCAATAGATTAATTAATTTTTTTTTCAACGACATTAAGTTATTTTTACGATTATGTGAAAAACACAAAATAACGCGATGAAATTAGATTACTGAAATAAATGCACATGTGCATTAAACTTATCATAGCGCAACAAACAGTCGTTTTTTACTAATGTATTTATCATAGCCGTTCAAGAAATAAGAGGCTTATAGGAGAATTCGCGCATCAGTGGCTCAAAAATGACTATCTTCAGAAACTGTAACGCTTTTACAAAACGAGCGCGTGCAACCCATTGCCCTAAGAATGTGTCTGTTGTTGAAGAATCATTTTTTATCGCGTTACTTACACGGCAAAAATGTGATCAATAGATTTCGCTTTACTTTCGCGATCCGACATCAAATAGTAATTGATGGAAAATTATTATCATAATAAATGTCTAGTATGTGTGCATCTAAAGAAGAATGTCTTTTTTCCATTTTGAAAAATGAACGCTCGGGCCCAGGACAGTGTTAATCCGATCGTGTCGTGTAATTCTCTCATTCAAATTTCCCTTTTGTGTGTTTGCCGTCGTCGCCAGTTATACTGCACCGGTTGACAATTTCGTTGCTTGCTGAATGCCTAGTGTGTATACGTACACACTATTCGCATCTGTGTTTGGACAGCCGTTTTATGTACAATATCTTCGTTAATACAAAAATCAAACAGAGTTCACGAAAAAAGAAAACGGTTTTATTTCATTTAAAACGTTTTATTTGAGTTTTGAGTTAAGCATACTAACTGTTATTCGTTCATTTCCCCCGACAGTATTTTTTTTTTTTTTTTTTAATTACGAATAAGACTTACATGTAAACCCATGACAACCTGATGATTCATGCGTAGACACAAAAAATATCCAAATAAATTATTAACAGCTTAGCTGTTAGTTTATTTTTCTTGTGTTACCGATTTTATACAATACATTATTGTATTTACTTCCGGGAAAGCGTAAACTTTTATACAATATTTTTAAGTCATTCAGTCACGAATATCGTAAAAAATATCATTTTTAAATTTTTATATTTTATTGCGCCGGTTATATAATTTAATGTTTTTTCGAACGAATGAATAGGTGATAATTCTTAACACTTCACATGTGAGTGTCATTGGTCAGCTTACTTACATAATACTAACTAATAAGTATTTATTACTCAATATTTTGAAACAAATACAGCTCATCAAGTCACTTTAAGGTATTAGAGCAATAAATCAAAATTTATTTATGTTATTGACAACAATATTTTACAAAAAACTTTTGCATAATCTAATGATTGAAGAAAATCACAACTATATCTTTAAGTAGTACAAGCACGTACTTTGGCAGTAAAACCTATTCTTTTTAACGACAGCGTAATAGATAACCAAAACAGCATTGGTATTGTTCATCAAAATCGTGGTCATACGCTTTTCGTTTTACTTAGGTTGGGCTGAGTAAAACAGAGTTTGTTAAAACGCAATCGGTCACCTGCATAAAATTAACACACCTAATTGAAATTCGTGGGTAGATTATTAAGAGAAATTATAGCAAAAAAAAGAAAAACAATAATAATTGATGTATAGATGCAAAACCTTTTGACCCGATACACCCACAATATAGTAGGAAGATTTCATTATATCCAACTGTACAGATTTATGGAGTGAATGTGAAACGTATTGCTGAAGATGATATTACTTCTTGATCACTCTGTATACGAAATATAAATAATAACAATAATAATAATAATAGATGAACAAAATTGATAAAAGAATATATTGTATTCACATCAAATAAAAGAGAAATTAAAACAAGTATACAAGGATGATATTTGAGTATTGAATAACAAAAACAATGCCTTATAAACACGTACATGATGTTTGAAGACAAGACACGTTTTGGCATAAAGACAAATAATTTGCCGATAACAATCTTCCTTAAAAAGTAAAAATACCTAGACTGAATTTGTGCGTACATGCGCATCGTAATGCGAAATGAAAGTAAAAAGTAGTTAAATGAATAAACTATTGTTTTAGGCGGTTTTTTGATGATTACACGTGAAAGAAATTGCCTAAATCGATTGGACAACAATTGGTATTATTTAAACATGATTGTGAAAGGTTCTCAATGTGATAAAATACCACAGACTCTTGTAATAATTACTATTTACGTCATATTTAGAGACATCATCTATAGCCCATGTGTTTTGATAATATTTTAATGAACACAGTATTGAATGTATGACGCATTATGTGTCACACCATTATTCATGTTTTCTTCTATTTTCATTTTAAATCTCCAAACAATCCAACTACAGTTTTTATGAAACACTTAAAACTTCAACAT